TTTGTTTTATGATTGAAAATCCAGTTTCATTTAAAAATGAATCAATTGGTGGGCTGAACTGAGCTCACATGTGGGCCTGATTTGGCCCCCAGGCCACCAGTTGAATAGCTCTGCTTTATGGTTTAGTGGAACAAAATGAAATCATTGTCCAGATATATATTTCTGAAAAGCATGTTCAGTTACTTTGGATAGTTTTCAGTCACGTGGCCCACTAGCTACACTGACGGACCAAACACTGGTGCATCGATGATCTGGAGCCATCAATAATGCTGTCATGTGGAGGTGAAGGGCCAGGAAATGTTGACAGCCACAGGAGTACGCTCGCCTTTAAAGCAAACATTTGATCAAAGATAGGATTACGATTACGTTGTGTTTTTTGATTTAGGTGTTTAGTTCTGTGTTTTTATTCATTCAACCTTTATTTATACAGGTTAATCCCATTGAGCTTCGGGGACTTTTAGAAGAGAGACCTGAATTGTTGCTACAGTTTTATGTAATGAAGATTAGTGGATGAGCTTAAATAACATAATGAGAGAGCGTTGAAAACATGCTAATGCTAAGACAAACTAAATGCTGTCAACATGAGCTCAGGAAGCTTCTTAACTGAAGATAAATGTAGTTTTGCATGATGTCATCAATCTGTGTTCGTTAAACATTCAATGATTCAGCACCGGTCAGAAAGAAGATGAGTCCAGTAAATGTCTCTGTGAAACATAATTTTACATTCAGCACTGATTAAAGAAACGGTTGGGGTAAGATACAGAAACATAATATTTGGTGTTTAATACATCATCATGCCCTTCCACAAAAAAATAAAAATAAAATAAATGATGCTAGAAAACTTACCAAAAACATCTCAGCTGAATGTAATATTAAACTCATTCAGATTCAGATTCAGACAACTTTATTTATCCCCGAAAGGCAAATCAGTTGGTCAATTTTCAGATTTACACCCCCCCCCCCCAACGCATATGGTCATATAACTATCATATAACTAAAAGCAAAAAAAAATAAAAATAAAATTATGAAAATCAGCTACTAGTGAAGGCAAACAGCACTAAGAAATGAATTTGGCTTTGAGGTCAAGTCTTTACATGACTGCCAGATTATTATTATTTTAATTACCAGATATCTTGACATATTTTATATTCTTTATGAATATAGAAAGAATAAAGTAAATCCTTTCAGTTTAAACTCAGTTATCAAGCACAACCTTCCACGTGACATGGAATATTCATATTAATTTCTCTGGATTGACTTGTTTCATTTCGTTCTGTGCACCACAAAATGTTTGAAACATATCAACATTGTTTCACGTGTTTGTCAACAGTTTGTTTTCTGCTTCTAGATGGGAAGTGGAACATTCTAGATGACACCAAGAGGATGGAGAACCACCACACCGAGCTTCCTGTCAGGAGAGGGGCCTCACCATCAGAACCATGGCGTCAGGAGCTCCTCAGATGATTCATTCATTCATTCAACCTTTATTTAAACAGGTTAGTCTCACTGAGTCATGAGGACTTATTTACAACAGAGACCTGTTTTAGACAACAGTACAGATCAGTTCTATGATCATAGAAGCACACATATGTCAGGCTGCACAATATATTAGTTATTTTGTGAATAAAATAATTAACATCAAATAAACGCTTAAAAAACACTTTTGATGCATCATTATTATCATTCATTTCTCTAATGAACATATTAACTGTACAGTATCACCCACTTTATGTTTTATAATGTTTAACCCTGAAGGAACAACAGAGGGAACCATGTTTGTTAGCACTCAGCATACGTGCACTATTTTCTACTTTCTTTATTGAAAGCTGGGACCTTCAGCCCAACAGATTCTGCAACATCAACCACTCTGTGTGTTGAAGGTGGTGCTCATAACCACATGAGCATCATCAAACTGGTTGAGCCACATTGAGAAGGTAAGACTGAGTTTGTTTCAGCTCCTCGGCCTGAAGAAGTGAAAGACTAAACATTTCAACAACAAAAAAAAACATCCAGAGGACCTGACTTTACTTTGTTGGATAACCTATCAGATATTATTCTGTCCATCCATTATCTACGCTTCTTCCTTCCAGGGTCATGGGGGTCATAGTCCCCATGTCCAACAGTCACTGTGTGAAGGACACCCACAGGTTCAAGTCCATCACAGGGACACAACCATCACCTATAAGGAAATTTAGAGTTACCAATTGGTTTGGTCTGGAAGGACAGAGCAGTACCCGTAGAAAATGTCTTGACTGGGATTTGATCCGGTGACTTTCTTTCTGAGAAGCAACAGCTCTACCAACTGCACCACCGTGCCGCCCCACCTTTATTCCAGCAAAAAAAAAAAAAATGTCTTTAAAATCTGTGAACAGTCCTTGTGCCAGAACAAAGAGAAATCCAAAGGAAATATTATTTCTGGCGTTCTGGAAACAAGTTGTGCCGAAAATATTATTTTGAATGTAATCAACAAGTTACAAGTAAACGTCTGAAATTAGCATGAAGAGGAATGTCGGGTTTGACCATGTTAGAACAGTGTTGTTTTTAAAAAAAATCATATTATGCTTTTAATTCTCTTCTTATGATCATTTTATTTTCATGTCCTCTTCAATGGAAAATTCCAGAAGAGAAAGTATGATGCTTTACAACATTTAATCTGACTGATCTTGTAGCTGTCCGTGAATATAGGAGAACACTGAGATCATCTAATACATTTCTACTCTCTGTCCCAAAGTCCAACTACAAACGATGGGGTGACCGGGCGTTTTCGGTTGTCGCACCCAGACTCTGGAACCAGCAACCTCAGGACCTGCGCTCCATCACTGACATGGAGCATTTTAAATCTAATCTTAAAACCTTTTTATTCAGGCAGGCTTTTAATACCTAGTAGTTCTTTGACAATCTTGCTATGTTTTAATTGTTTTTAATTTTAACTGGCTGATTTTTTTTATTCTTAATTGTTTGTTTTTAACTTCTGTATTGTGCAGCACTTTGTGCACCTTTTGGCTGCTGGAAAGGGCTCTATAAATAAAGTTTGATTGAGGGATTGATTGATTTAATCACCTACGAAACTTGCAAAAACTTGTTGTTCCAGTCTGCCCTTCCCTCAGAAACAAAATGTGACCTATTGCTAAAAACATGAACAACCTGCGCTAAATGATCACGCCCATCATTGTTTGAATTAAATTAAAAGGCATGAAGGGAATGAACAAGTCAAAAAAAGTTGGAGGCATGACGCCTCAGGCTACTCTTCCCTTTGCAAAGAAAAATCTCACTCTTTGTGTCCGTGTTCATTTGTTTAAACCTAACAGACCTGTGTAGAGGGATTTGTGATCAGATATCTATATAATTTATTAGTTATGAGTTAAGCTCATAAGGTATACCATACCATACCATACCATACCATACCAATTTATTTATAAAGCACTTATAAGATACCTGACACATTTTAATATTGCAGCAATAATTTCTTGTTCAAGTTCAGAAGAAGTTGGTTTTCAAAGATTTTGAGTCCAATCTGACTCTTTTGGGAGAGAGAATCTGTCCTGCTGTACTGAACAGTCTTTCAATAAGGCCATGGGTGGAGCACATCTTCTGGCTGACTCTCTTGTGGTGGAATACATTTTGGGTGTGCTAGTGGTGCTGCAGGTGCACCCAGCTCAGTGACATGTATACTAGAATGTATGTCATTGGCGCAGCACGGTGGCACAACTGGTAGAGCTGCTGCCTCTCAGCGAGCAGGTCCCTGGTCCAAACCCCGGTCCAGGGACCTTCCGGGTGGAGTTTGCATGTTCTCTCCGTGCATGCGTGGGTTTTCTCCGGGTACTCCGGTTTCCTCCCACAGACCAAAAACATGCATGTTAGGCTGATTGGTAACTCTAAATTGTCCCTAGGTGTGAGTGAGAGAGTGCATGTTTGTTTGTCTCGTTTGTCTCTATGTGTCCCTGTGATGGACTTGCGACCCGTCCAGGGTGTACCCCGCCCCTCACACAGTGATTGCTGGACATGGGCACCGGCGACCCCCGTGACCCAAAATGGAATAAGCGGGTAGATAATGGATGGATGGATATGTCATTGGTCCAGCTCTTCTTGAAGGCGAGCCTAACGTTACCTGCCCACTTTGCAGTGATTCACTGGACCAGCTCCCCTCTCACCATTGGTTACTTTCAAACTAACAAACAAATCAAAAAGCCGCAACATGAATGTAACTTGTAATGCAACACATTATAGAAATGTAGTGTAGTAGAAAGTACAAATACTTGATGTAAAATGTAGTGGAGTAAAAGTATAAAGTACCCACATTTAACTCTACTTAAGTAAAGTACAGATACATGAAAAATGTACTTAAGTTCAGTAACAAAGTATTTGTACTTAGTTACATCCCACCACTGCATTTTACTCTCTGTTTATCCCTTAAACTTCTGTTTTCTCTCGAGGTCATTTTGTTCACAGAACCTAAACTATAAAGTTTGAATAACTTCTGGTGTTTTTGATCAAATTGATGCAAAGAAGACTTTTTTTTAAGAGGCTGTGGTCTCTTCATCTTGAGGCAGCAGATTATTTAAGGAAGAAAAACTATTAGAGATTTTGGTTCCAGTTATCGCCGTTGTCGTCGGTTTGCAGCTCCTTTTGGCACAGCTTGTTTGGCCATTAAATCATCTTAAATCAGACTTTTTATGTTGATTAAAAAATACCTATATGTTATTATTAAATTATTTCTTCACTTCTGTGATGGACTTGCGACCTGTCCAGGGTGTACCCCGCCCCTCGCACAGTGATGGCTGGATATGGGCACCAGCGACCCCCGTGTCCCAAAATGGAAGAAGCGGCTAAAAGATAATGGATGGACAGATGAATATTTCCTCACTTCAGTTTTCTGTTGAAACCACAAAATATTCCATAAAACTCTTCTTCAATACTAAAAATCCATCCTAATAATAAAATGTGAGACAAACAGGTTTAAAAACCTCTGGATCCAAAGGATGTGAAGGTCAAAGACTCACCCACAGTTAGAACTGGATCATGGCTCCACGGGGGGGCGCACAGCTTCACCGCAGGCTGGATGGGCTATCTAGCAGTGATTTTCTCCATCACCCATCGCCAGCTGATGCTCGGACAGACCGGCCACGCTGCGTCCAGACCTGAAAGGGAAGACAGTAGTGGTAACTATAGCAAGCTGTGATTAGTTTATGTCCCACAGCCTCCTCCATTAAACGCCTGATTTACTTAATGACTGTTGGCAGCAGCTTAAAGAATATTTAAATGCATTTAAACGTTTCACTGGAACCGGAGGGAGTGGCAGAGACAGAGGAGTCACCTGAAGAAAACAAGAACAGGATTTAATTACTGACAGAAAGTCAAACATGAAGAGGCTGACGAAGCAGGAAAGAAAATTAATCTGCAGGACTGAGGTTCAAAACACAAGAACGGAAGTTAGAACCAATAAAAACACAGAAACAGGGGGCTGTGGTGGTTTGGAGGTCAGTGCTGCGACCTCACAGTCCTGAGGTCGCAGGTCCGAGCCCAGGTTGAGTCAGGAGGGGCATCTGGTGTGAAACAATAAATGTTTTATGTGAGTTTATGTGAGCAACCCAAAGCAAATCAACAAAACAAAGATTATACTTTAAATATTTATTTTTTATATATTTATACTAGGATCAAGACTTTCCTTTTTGCTAAATCCTATAGTTAGGGTCGGCTTGGGTTTCCTGAGCTGTCCCTTAGTTATGCTGCTGTAGACTGCTGGAGGACAAACTAACCACAATTTTCACTCTGCTACTGTCTTTACTTACTCTGCTCAACCTGTTTTGTATTTGTAATTATTTTTTCTATCCTTCACATGTGTTTTTTTTGTCTTTCAGATACACCTGGACCTATACCTGGACCTACCATTCTGTGTTCGTCTGTCTCTCCTTCCTGTCCTCTCAACCAGCCGGTCAAAGCAGATGGCCGCTTGTCCTGAGACTGGTTCTGCTGGAGATTTCTTTCTTTTAAAAGGGAGTTTTTCTTTCCACTGTTGCCACTGTGCTTGCTCAGGATGGGAGACTGCAACGAAGCCAAGATTCAACTTGTCTGCTGGATTCCTTAGATAGAGAACTTTACTAATTGGCTTTTATGTGAATGTTCCTGTAAAGTGTCCTGAGACAACGTTGTTGTGATTTGGCGCTATATAAATAAATTTAATTGAATTATACCAGGAGAGATAATGAGTACCACAAAACATCCATCCATCCATTTTCTTTACCCGTTTATTCCATTTTGGGTCACGGGGGTCGCTGGTGCCCATGTCCAGCAATCACTGTGCGAGGGGCGGGGTACACCCTGGACGCGTCGCAAGTCCATCACAGGGACACATAGAGACAAACGAGACAAACAACCCTTCACTCTCTCACTCACACCTAGGGACAATTTAGAGTTACCATTCAGCCTAACATGCATGTTTTTGGTCTGTGGGAGGAAACCGGAGTACCCGGAGAAAACCCACGCATGCACGGAGAGAACATGCAAACTCCACCCAGAAAGGCCCCTGGACCGGGGTTTGAACCAGGGACCTGTTCGCTGAGAGGCAGCAGCTCTACCAGTTGCGCCACCGTGCTGCACCACAAAACAATAAGGATCTTAAATTATTTAAAATAAAATCTATATTAAAAATCCAAAGTTAGAAACGTGTCAGAGACATAATAATACAATCATACAAATTCAGTTCTAAAGAATTTTCTTTCCCCTGCTGTGTAAATAATTTATATTTGTCTGAAATTGTCATAATCTGTACGTCACACATAAAGGCTTTTCCTTGTCATTGTTATTACAGAACCTGCTGCCTGCCAACACGCTAATGGGGAATGATACAGAAATAAACGTGGTCATGTCTTATTCAGAGGACATGTTGGCGCTGTGGACGCTTCACGCAGCATCACACAGTGATGTGTGCGTACCGCATCAGCAGCTGAACAACTGAGCACTGAATCGTGATGGAAACTCCTACAAACTGGAAAGATGTGGAGTATTTTATAGAAGGAGTTGTAGATCGTTCTGGAAGAGTCCGGGTCAGAGAGGATGGTTGTGCTAAAAGCTTTTTATCAGTTCTATTAATAATGGTGTAAATCCTCAGTCCAATTGATTGTGTTGCTGAAGGCGGACAGGGAAAAACTAAATAAAATCAAATGAAGACAAGATCAGATTTATGGTTTACTGCTGTTTTTGTCCCCCATCACAGAACAAAGAGGGTGAATCAGAAATACACTCAGTCCATCCGTGCACGTTGTGAGCATGGTAACTTGAAATATAAGTCAGCTACCGACTTCCATTTTGGAGTGTGGCTGCATGTAGGTTTGGTTTATTTGTCATGTGCAAAAATCAACACAAGGTCAACAATGCAATGAAATGCTGAGGACGAGAAGAACGGTCTCGACTCGCCACAAAATAAACGAGAAGAAATATCAAAGCATGCAGCAAAAACACACACACACAAAAAAAATAATACCCAAGGCGACAAAAGTAAAAAAGAAATACATCTGTATCACAAGGTGTAAGAAAGGTCACAAAATATGGATGCCACATTAGAAAGATAGATAGATAGATAGATAGATAGATAGAAATATATAGAAATATAGATAGATAGATAGATATAGAAATATAGAAAGATAGATAGATAGATAGATAGATAGATATTTATGTAAATCAGCCACAGTAATAATTTAAGGAAAACATGCTGTCTAGATTTTATATTGCTTAATAGTATAGTTTCTTTAGATGAATGGGGTGGTTGATGAATAATCTATGGTGGTCAAGGCCACCATTGGCCACCCCCTGCCTCCTCCATTGCACCTGGTGGTGGATAAAATGTTTCCCGCCACTCTTCAGGATACGACCCATCACTGCTCTGCTTCAAATATAAAAAAACCCTCCCTCTGTTCTTCTCCACAGTGTAACTCCTGCTCACTTGAATATCTTGCACCAAAAACAAACCCTGCTAATACCATTAGACAACAAGTGCTTTCACTCCCATGGCTTTCTCTGTATTTAGTATCGTACAACAATTTATTGGATTTTAAATTGAAGAATATACACAAAATACTCCAGATTAATGAAGTTAAAACTGCTAGTTTATGTTTATGTACTCCCCAACCATTACTTCCAGATGCCACAGGACTGGTTTAGTGAGATTCATCTGTCAGCAAAGAATCAACACCAGAACCTGTGAGTAATCCCGACTACCACCAAGCAGGAGTTACCAAGACAACAGGACCAAACACATCAGGGTTGGGTTTAAAAATATCCACAGTGAACCTGTCAAAAGATGTACGTCCCCCCAAACTCAGGGATCAGCAGGAAGGACATCAGAGCCAGGAGGCCAAAGACAGACATGATGGAGAAAGGGCGGGAAAATTACTTTTTAGACAAACCTCTAAAAAAAGTTCAATATGGTCCTCTGGACATTCAAAAAGACAAAAAACAAAACAAAGATTTTGTCGATTAGATTTTTCTACCTGGATTATTGAGCATGCATCAGGATATTTTAGACAAACGTTGATATTTGCTCAGAGGCATGCAGAGGACTCCTCAAACACATGGAAGAAGGTCGGATGAGACTTAAATTGACTTTTTGATAATCAAGAACACCTACAGGTATAGCGTATCATACTGAGAACATCACCCAGACAGCAGAACATGGTGGTGGCAGCATCATGCTGTGGTGGTTTGTCATCAGCAGGAAGAGTTTTTGATGAAAACCTGTTTGAGTCTTCCAGAGAGTTGAGAGGTCCACTTTCCAGCAGGACTCTAAGCACAAGGCTGAAGTTATGCTCCAGTGGTTTTAGGAGAACTGGTTAAAGGTCTTAAATGGTCCAGCCGTCCAGACCTCAGTCCATCTGACAGTCTCTGGTTTTATTGAAAGACTGTTGAACACAAGCAGAGCTTGTCCAAGGACACAAACTAGGGGTCCAATCCTGGTCATGGAGGGACACTATCCTGCATGTTGTAGATGTTCCTCTGCTCCATCACACCTGATTTGAGTCAGTGGGGGATTAACAGGTTTCTGAAGAACATGAAGAAGTAATTTAGCTGTTGAATCAGGTGCGTTGGAGCAGAGAGACAGGTATGTGTGCGGGGAAGTGGCCCTCCAGGACCAGGACTGGATACATATGGTCTAGATGTTGCTCAGTTTATGGAGCTATACCTGCAAATACTTTCTGCTGTAACTGCAGCAGAAGTTGGTTCTGCAAAAATCCAATTTGAATTGTCTCTTGTTTGTTTCACAACTAAAATAAAACTGTTTTACATCTTCAAAAGTGGCAGTTATGAGACTAAACGATGAAAAGCTCATCTGACTAATTGGTAAAATCTGAATGAGAGGATGTGATTAACGTAGACTTGTTGCACCTATAAAGAAGAATTCAAGTGTTTAATACATTGTGGCATACTAAATTAATATAATTGTAACACGTGTACAGAGATGTATTAATAGGCGTTCAGTGACCAGGAGAACCTGAACTGTGTGATGGAAGCAGAATACAGAAAGTCTGTCTGCAGCACACAACGGAGCGCGACAGCTTCTCACATCAGCATGAGCTAACCAGCTGTGAAGGGAACACCTGCCGCCGATTAATACAGGATCACTGCAACAATGCAGCGTGGGAAAATTATTGCACTAATTGTTGAACTAACACCATTAACCCCAAAAGGTTAAACATGGAGGTGAATACGGTACAACTCCGGCTGGTTGGTCTAAATGTCAGAGGAAATGATCCAGGCTGAGATAAAGCCACAATGCAAGAGGTCTATCATCCTTAGAAAGGTTTACAAAGGTTTATACAGGTTTATAAAGGCTTACACTGGCTTATCCAAGTTCATAAAAGTTTATAAAGATTCATAAAGTTTATAAATTTTCATAAAATTCACAAAGGTCTGCACAGGTTTATAAATTTTCTTAAAGGTTTATCAAGATTTACAGAGGTTTATAAATGTTCATAAAGGTTTTGTAAATGTTTACACAAGTGTATAAATGTTTGTAAAGTTTTATAAAGGTTTACAGAGGTTTATAAATGTTCATAAATGTTTATAAAGGTTTGCAGATGTTTATAAACATTCATAAAGGTTTGTAAAGTTTACACCAGTTTATAAATGTTCATAA